TATATACAATGAACGTGAAATTACAGATAGGCACTGCTTTGGTCAACTTCGTTGGGTCTTCCACTACAAGGAGCGTGATGAGGGGGAGTGTCACTGGGATGCCAGTCTAAATATGGCTGAAAGAGCTCGAGCCCTAGTGCAGTGTCTTCTAAATAACAAAGACTTTATTGAAACAGTGGCAAATGCATGCAGCAACAGTACTGCTGCAGGCCCAAATGTGCACTTGTCATTTGACCGAGTGGATGATGAGGTGCGCTCAGTTTTTAATAGAGGTGCGCAAACCAGAGTGCGGACCTGTCGATTTATCTCGATTGCTAGATGTGTGAGTCAAGGATCATACGGATGGTGACGTGAACAGGCTGCATCTTTATTTATAATAAAACGTAACCAGCACTGTCGACCTTATTAACAAACTCCCGCCAGTACTACGGGCATAATCGATCTAGTACAGAATCATTCAACGTTCAACACCGATGGGGGTATAGCGGCCTCTACAGGATAAACAACGCTATCATTTAGTCAAATGATTTACATCCCCTTTCGTTAGTTTACGTCTTTCATGCAAAGAAAAGAAAGAAACAAAAAAAGAGAACATAAACAAGTGTAAGCATTACAAATTATTCCTACAGGGTCTTATAGTTACAGGTAACTCAATGCTTCCAGGTGAAATTCAAAATAATTCCACTGTAAGTAGAGTGAGCAGACTTATTATTAAAGAACCGGGCTTATCAGCCAGCTTGGATTTATAAACAAAACATCCGGATAGATGTCCAGTCATTGGTACCGGAACAATACTGGTATTAACTATATAAAGCATATACTATCTAGCAAGGCTTTCTCTCACTACCTACATGTTACTGCGTGTATTTTGGGTTTGGCCTACAGATGCGACCTGAACGTGTTGTGTAATGTGCATTACTGTTGTCAGTGGGTGAATGTGCCGTGTAGTTCTGCCTGGGAGGGGATGTGTGATGNTGTGTGTGTGTGTGTGTGTGTGTGTGTGAGATCCATCTGGGAAAATCATGGTATCTGAAATGGAAATGTCTTGAAACCCAGGTCATAGCTGAAGTGAACTGGGCCACACTATGCTGAACTTAAGTGAGGTGCGAACTGCATGTGGATACAGCAGGATAATGTGCATGTGAAAGGAAGAAGGATTAGACCTATAAATAAAATCTCCCAGGCGGAGTGTGACCTGTCATAGCGACCTTTCCACTAAATCACATAGTGAGCCAATGAGATGCACAGCTGTGTCTTTGGGCCTCAGCATTGGCTGCGGGGCTGAGTAGCGGCCAATCAGAGAGAGATTTTTCTGAGTGCAGCCTGCGGAGAGGTTGGCGCTCTCATGTCATGTGATGCAGTCACTGTGGTTGTTAGTCAGGCACATCTGAAGGTCGCTGTTCCTGTCTGCAAATTTGCAGGCACTTGCCTTCCACCTTGTTTTGAAACAAAAGTATTATGTTGTGGTTAAACATTTCCTGCCCAATCACTTTTTTTTTTTTTTTTTGAAGAAACCACATCCAGTCACACCTTGCCTTTACAGCCAACCAATCACATATTGTTTCTCTAGCAGAGCTGTCCAATGATCCTTTGTTTTTGAAAACTCACTGTTCACACAGCAAGCTGTAAGTGAACACTAACCCAGCCTAAGCAAAGGGTCCCTACTTTTCCAAAACAAATGGCGTCAAATCACAGTACAGATTTCTGGCCCAGTCCTGCTGATAAACAAAACGCACACTCGGCAAACCAGTCAAAGCGCTGAGCAATTTAGTGGCTGCTCAGTACTGGATTTGTAGGTGGCTGTGTGTTCCCAGGGGATGTCTTGCATCTTTGCCTCATTGTGCTTTCTGGTGGCATTGCCCCAAGTTACAGTAGACCGGTCGCTGATTGGTCCACAATTCTATATTGGAACTGGGCATCTGCAAGTATTGGTCCACAGTCTTGACTTATTGTTACAGCCACTTTGATTGGTGCAGAGTCCTTTAAGGGAACCGGACGTCTGCACTGAGTGGTTTACAGGACCCACAGTGTTGAGAAGATCCTGCACCCTAGTGGCTGCCAAGTCCCAGCCTGATGTGTGTGGATACAGATGCACGCTGAGACACAAATTCTATGTGTGGATTTGGATGCATTGGGTTGGTTGGGGGATCAATGGCAGCCGTTAAGAGGCCAACTCTCAGGATGCATCTCGCTGGGTCACCACTGTCCCCTGGAGGACGGGCATCTCACATTAATGCAATCTTCTGGCATTTATATTGTGAATATGAGGGTTGAAAAATCATTTAAAGGTTGGACAGGGTCTGTTACCTCAAGGGGAACGGGCTGGTGAGGGAGGGGGCTGTTGGGCCAGCATGGCTCCAGGTGGTGGTTCTGCTTCGTTATCATGCTAATGGTATGTGTATAATGGCCCCACTAGGAGGGGGGCAGGGTGGCATGTCCCATGCAGAGCTGGTGTGAAAAGCTGTGTGGGCCAGGGGCTCGCCACCAGCACCCCTGTGGGACACGTAAACACTGTGATCATGTGACCTTGCCATGATTTCCAGGCTCGTGTGGGTGTGCATCTGTGCTGCTTGGATGTCTGTCTCTGGCCTGGTTGCGGTAGTAAACATTTGTGAAAACAGACACTTTTTTCCACCTCAGGTTTTAATGGTTTTTCTGCTGTTCGTACTTCGGGGTTGGATGTTTGAGTGGTTTTAGTATTTGTTCCATGGTATGTTCTTACAAAGATATAAATTCCAGTGTCTATGTATGTAGGCATACATGTTTGTGATTGTACAGTTATAAATTGTAATATCATTTGACTACCTCAATATTATAAGTGCATCCTTTACTTTGAAGTCATTGAATTTTATTACAATTATTGTATTGTAGTATTGTGGTGTCAGGAGACATCCTGCTCCCTCTAGTGGCCGTCCTGCATAAGGTGCCCTACTCTGTGCTGTGGGATGTGCACTGGGGGCGGCTAGGCATTCTCACTGTGTCAGAGCTAATGGTACAGTCTTATGTGCTTGTGGCAGTTCCTCACAGAGCGAGACCGGAGACGGCCAGGTGACATGTTGACAGTTCTTGTCTCCCTATTTCTGGTCATGTTAAATATACCAGTGGCACTTCTCCAGTGCCTCACGCCCTCTCACCGCCTCCTCCTTCTCATGCTCAGCTGCTCCTCCTACTCCTCCTCTTCTTACGGTTCATGGTCACTCACAGAATTACCCCCCCAGCCCTGGTCTGGTTACTTTCCGTTTCAGCTTCGCACTGCAATGTTAGTGATACTGGCCTGTTTGGCAGGAAACTGCTGATGTGCTCGTCAGCATCACACCACTGCCTAGCGATTATTCTACCTGATTGGACGAGTCACTCCACCTTCCCTGCTGTCAGCTTGTGTGTAAGCATCCTCTTGGTGGCATTTGTGAGAAGCACAGTTTATATCCAGAGGCTGCTGAGGGCCAGTGCTTTTGAGATACCCCCCCCCCCATCCCAGTGCTGGTCATTGGCCCCCTTTATACAGAAAAATCATAAACAGGCCTGGAATAGACTTCTTTTAGATGGGGCCTGTCACCATGGTAAGCGTCAGAGCAGGCCCCAGGGAGATCACGTGTGTTTGTTAAGCTGGAAGATAGGAGCTTATGGTATTTATGTTGCAGAACAGAGGCTACATCTTTGAAGAAATGCCAACTTTGTTTTTGAGTATATGTTCTTTTCAGTTATTCGATCATTTAAAGTAGTGAGAACATCTCATGTACATTTTACATTATGTGGTATGTGAGGTCATTTGTGTCCTCAATTAGTGTGCTGTTAAGCAGGACAGGAAAGAGAATTCAGATGATTTCACATTCAGAGCAAGATCTTCTAAAGTCTTTCATATTCCTAGTTTCATCTAATTGGACAAAGCACTGGAAGTAAAGACCAATCAGAAATGCTAGAAAACCTGCAATCTACGCTGCCTTCTGTCTTCAGGAAGATGAATGACAGGCTGTCAGCAAAAAAAAAGCAGATGCTGAGAAGCAGTGTTTAGAGATTGGTGCACAGAAAAACGTGCAACGAGCTTCCTGTGCTTATGTGATCTGAGTGCCAATGGGGTCACACCACACGGCACCCACAATGGCATGTTATTTTAAATAGTAAATATGCATGTCTGAGTCTGTCCCATTAAATACTGCTCTGCTGCTATAGACAGACGCCCCCCCCCAAGCCAGTCATTTATCAAGCCATGATGATGCACAAGTGGACTCTGAATAATATTCTCATCATCAGTCTTGCTATCTGAATGGAGCATGCAGGAGGTGAGGCTACACCAGTGTGAGGAAGGCCTGCGGATTCAGAGGGGTGGGTTTGCGGGTGAGGAGCGAAAATGGTGCTGCCTCCTTTGAGACTGGAAGCACTCTAAGCGCTCATGTCTGTAGATGCTGTGAATGTTACAGGGAGGCACCTTTTGGTATGGTTGCCGGTCAGCCCCCCCCCCCCACAAAATTTATTTCTGGCTACGGGCCTGGTCATATCTGACTGTCATAGCTCTGTGCAGGCCGTGATTTTAAGATGTCTGGCCCAGTTTCTGCTATCCTGCTTCTTTCTCATCCAGATGTTTTTGCAGTCATGGGCTGGCCACCATTTGCTGCAGTGACCTAACTCCACCACCAGAGCCTGGCAGGCACCTGACAGCCTAAAGGCTGGTTCATACTTCTTTGCATGTATACTAGCGGACGTGTCCACTGGAACGTTTATGATGTGTTTGGCATTTTCTGCTTCTGTGGACTAACGCCTGCTGCACTCCAAATCTGCATCTGCGCAGCGGTGCACACACAGCTTTGGACACACTTTGCATGATTGATTGGCTAGCGTCCACTTTAAATACCAACATGGATGCTTTTGACAAGCTTCGGGGCAGTTTGCAAAGCCTACAGAATATTTACAAGGCAATAAAACTGTTACATGCATAGAAATGCTTGTGTATGTGAGTGCAGACTTGTCCCGAATTGAAAATTTCATGCCAGCCAGCTGACCAAAGTTGGCAGCCCTGTGAGGTGGCTCTCTGCACTTATAAAGCATAGAGAAACAACACAAACCTCACTGCTGTGGTACATGTGCAGGGAATATCAGAATAATAATTTATATTATTATTTATAAAAATGTAAATACAACACATTGTGCACGTGTGCAAAGTATGTGGCTTGACCAGAGAACTATGAATGTTTCCATGTACACATACGCAGAGTGGATACACGAGTGTTGCGCTTGTGCAGAGAATTATGAACTAGCCTTAATACAGCCCAGGGCTGATTATCCCTCCCTCCACCTCCAGGGGGCTCTGAGGCACACAAAGTACAGGAAGCAGTCCACAGTTTAACTGTGCACAGAGAGAGCACCCCCTTTTGGTTAATTGGAATAATGCAGTATGCTTTTCTTAGTGTAGGATATGCCTGTACCAGTGTGTCACATGTGTTGTGTGCACCACAGTGTAAAGGTCTTGGTTTGTTATAGTGGAAAATCGGGTGTCAGTTAGTAGCAGGTGCCTCAATTTTGTGCGGTTGGAAGATATTAAAGGGGTATCATTGAGAGGTATCTAAGATGACACCATCCCACTGTGTCTATATTAGGCTGTGAAAGTCACAGTGGTCTGCATATGCCCACGGTCAGCATCTCAAGTGCGTGTGGTGTGCAGCTGTGTGTGCAGCCTGCGGAAACCTGCACTTGGGTTCACAATGTTTTATGGGGTATCGCTGATAACCCATGCATGACCACTTCCCCTGCAGATGCCTTGGAGGTGAGTGACCGGCCTCATCAGCTGTTGTATAGCACAATGTGTGCTGCATACTACTTCTAGTTACGAGGCCTGTTTTTAAGTAGCATGCTGCCAGTTTTGTTTTTCGGGGATATATCTTGGCACCTGTCTGTCCAGTTTCTCAGATGTCATGTAAAAACGGTGTCCTGTAGACTGAGTGTGTGGGTCGTTATCGCACTTTCTCCCTCCCTCCCTCTCTCTAGGACCTGAATAAGCGCCTCTCACTGCCAGCAGACATCCGCATACCCGATGGTTACCTGGAGAAGCTGCAACTCAACAGCCCTCCGTTCGACCAGCCTCTCAGCCGCCGATCCCGCAGGGCCTCCCTGGTGAGAGAGCAGGACCCCCCCCCCCCCCAACATGTCTACTCTAGCTATGCCCACGCTCTACCTCTAGTCCCATCCTAAAACCTCCTGGTCCCTCCTCTGCTGCTTGTGCCCTTTCTGAGGCTAAAGCCCTCCCCTTACCCTATCCATAAAATCATTTTATGCCACATTATCCCTCTCCAGCTAGGCATGTGAATGCAACTCGGCCGCTGATGAAAAATACATGAGCAAAATTAAAGACTTAATAGGGCTCTGTGAGTGTCATACCCCCTGGGCACGTGTATATGTGCGTGGGTGCGTGTCTATGTGTGTTACATTTGTGTGTGTGTGGCTCTCTGTCTGTGTGTGTGTGGGTTTGTATTTGTCACATTGTGGTAACCAAATGTCCCCACAACGTGCTAAAACTTCTTACTATATAGCTTGTAGGGACATTATTTAGGACCCAACAATATAAACCTCAATTTAATAAAAATCTATGAATGTAATCAAAAAACTAAAAAAGGCCAAATGTCTTGTATTTTGGTAGATTACTTATGGTTTAGCTTAGGGCTGGGTAGGTTAAGGTTGTCTTTGTTGGGATTAGGCTTATTCCCTTAGAAATGAATGGAGAGTCCCCACAATGATATAGAATACAGTGTTTCCCCTACCATTATATTAGGGGGGCACCCCGCCCCCCCAATGGCACCTTCCTGCCCCCCTTGAAGGTCAAGTTAATTTTATTTATTTTCTATATAGTGCCAGATCACAACAGAAGTCATTTAAGGTTTACTTTCCTATAGAATAGGTCTATACATTGTCCTTTTATTAAACAAACTAAATAGCCGTATGTTATCTTCATTTTTTTCTCTACACGGTCACACGTTTACAATTCTCCTCTGCTCTCTGTATCGCGCATGCCGGAGTTCCGCCCCAATGCGTGTGCGCACACACAGGTGAGCACACTCCCACCAGCGGACAGAGAGCGCGCGTCGGAAAATATGTCGTGTCAACCACCCGGTCAGCAGTGTAAACTGTGAGAGGGACTTCTCAACCCTGAACAGCGTAATAAATACGTTTCACAATGGGATTTTCTGCTTTAATCTATTTTAAGCTATCAGCTATCACTTTTAAAGCCTAACAGTTAATGTATTTGCAGGTCAAGACAAATATCCACAATAGGCTGCAAGGAGACTATCTTGCAGCCTGCATGCGGATCTCAATAAATGGGCCAGACGTTTCTGACTTCCCATATCAAGAGGCTCTAGAAATCTTCTTCTAGAAGCCCAGAAAGATACACTGCAGTGACAAAAGCTGCACACTGCACACATGGATAATTGTCATATAAAGAAATGTTTTGATGTTTAGTTCAGTTGTTATATTGACTACTGCCATTAAAAGAAACACATGAACACAATGAATCCCTCCAAAATCTCCAAACCTAGGGGAAACACTGGAATAAGTGTGTGTGTGTGTACATTCAGTTCGCTGTATATGAGAGAGATAGAATCTCCCAAAATGAGCTTGTAACTATGTGTAATCAGACCACATGATGTGCTCCACGGCACTGTAACGTCTTTGAGTAAGGCTCCCCTATTCTCTCTCTGTCTCTCCCCCTCCCCTCCTCTGTCTGGCCCTGCCATTGTTGTTGTTCACAGCTTCTGCATGTAAATCGCTGGCCTCACTGTTTTCCTCTCTATTGTTCCCCTTCCGTCATCCATCTCTCACCTGCCCCTCCCACCCTCTGTGCTCACGGCAGGGGCAACGGTTCCCCCTGCTGCCCATAAAAAGCGACGCTGCCCCCTCCACCCCTGCAGAGATCGGCGTATTGACAAATGACCCAGCATAAAATGAAATTAGCTTCTGACATGCAGGAGACTGAGTGCATTGCAGAGATGTGTGGGGCAGAGATAAGCCCCCACCCCCAGCACTGCCGCAACCAGGCCTGTTTGGCATCAGCCGGGACAGGAATCTCATTAACTCTCTTCTCCCCCTTTTGTGTTCCAGTCGGAAATTGGATTTGGGAAGCTGGAGACGTACATAAAGCTGGACAAACTGGGAGAGGTGAGCGGCCACTGTCAGGATCAGGCCCCAGCACAAGCAGATGCTGGAACCAGCCTCACATGTACTGTCATTAGATAATAACAGGGCAGCCCCTGCTCATTATGAATATGCTGTGCCCAAGTTATGTCATATCTTGCCTACCCCTTGGCAGCATTTGTCATGCCTGACTCCCTCCCCCCACCCAGGGGACCTATGCCACTGTTTTTAAGGGGAGGAGCAAGCTTACCGACAACCTGGTGGCTCTGAAGGAGATTCGCCTGGAGCACGAGGAGGGGGCCCCTTGCACCGCCATCCGGGAGGGTGAGGGCTCGCGTCTCTCTCACCTCACCCAGGATGACCCCTTATCCCACCCCCTGAACTCTCACCTCTTTCCCTGTTTGACAGTCTGACCTTTCTCACCCTCAGTGTCGCTCCTGAAGGACCTGAAACATGCCAACATTGTGACGTTACATGACATTGTCCACACAGACAAGTCCCTGACACTGGTCTTCGAGTACCTGGTAAGAAGATGACCTTCTGTTCTCTCTGTCTGTGACCCTGCCTCCCTAATTCCCCATTTCAGCTTCATTCTACTGGCTTTGTACTGTAAAGAGGCACCACCTCCCATGACCACTTCCTGTCTTGAATAGCCTTTCTTCCTGTGCAGGACAAGGACCTGAAGCAGTACATGGACGACTGCGGAAACATCATGAGCATGCATAATGTGAAGGTAACCTTCTGGTCCATGGTAGCTCCATCAGGCATGTAGGCTCGGTCCGTCGGTCGGTAAAACCAGCACCAAAAAACACACCAAGGTTGTTTAGGCCACCCAGACAGGCAGCACAATTGGCCAGCGATTACTTTGTGACAAAATCTGTATTTATTTAAGTTTTCAAATACTCTAAACAGCAGTTGGTATTTGTCACAGTATCAACTGAGTAATTAACAATTGAATTGATAAAACTGTGGAACTTTTATTTGTTTATTTGTTGAGGAGCAGAATTCATACATGAATGAATTCACGTTTTATGTTAAAGTGTCCATGTTGACACAGAAAGGGGAGTTCTTTAAATTCATAGTTTCAGAGGAGGAGATGGGGAGGAGGGAGCCTGTTCCCACGGGTGGCTCGTGTCTGACTTCCATGCAAGCCGGAGCTTCAGCTTCGCCTGCCGGCCTGCCCTGACATGCCTTTCTCCTTCGTCCCCAGATCTTCCTGTTCCAGATCCTGCGAGGGTTGGCCTACTGCCACAGACGGAAGGTGCTGCACCGTGACCTCAAGCCCCAGAACCTACTGATTAATGAGCGTGGGGAGCTCAAGCTGGCTGACTTTGGTGTGTGTCACCCCCTGAACCCCCCCCCCCCCCCAACCCACCCCCGTGGTGTGAGAGCATGGACATGCACACTGACCCAGATGCCTGCCTGTTTTTGTCCAGGTTTAGCCCGGGCCAAGTCCGTGCCCACCAAAACGTACTCCAATGAGGTGGTGACGCTGTGGTACCGGCCCCCGGATGTGCTCCTCGGGTCCTCAGAGTACTCCACACAGATCGACATGTGGTGAGTGAACTGGGCTGATCAAAAGCCCTCTGCTCATTGACGACTCCTGCTGGCTGCCTTTCAGCTCCGTCCTGGGTATTTTTCCATGGAAAAGGCATTCACCTATCGGGCAAGTTGAGACTTTTCATTAGTTTACGCAGGTTTCCCCCTTGAAATTGGTAACAGCACTAGTGTTGAGAGATTTGTGTGCTTTGGGAAATAAATTACCATCAGAATCTGCATACACCACAGGCCTGAGGTGAAGAAGGATCTGAATAGAGAAACCTGTGTATATCTGTGTACACTATTTATATTAGTATATTTATATTTTGTTCAGATTACCCCATATTGGTAATCCCTAAAGAACAGATGTGTCTGCATTAAATGCTTTTGTTTTTAGACTTTTTTGTTTTTGAGAAAGTTCTTTTGAGTGGTTTTAGAAATGATTAGATGTCATGAGTCATTCATTTACTGAGAATGTGTTTGGAAACCTTAATTTCAAGTTACTGGGAAGCTCCCTTAAAGATTAATATTAGAAACATGTATGTCCACATCTACGTGCTCATTTTGTAGTGGTCATGTGACCAGCAGTGGTTCTCTGCTGCAGGGGCGTGGGCTGCATATTCTACGAGATGGCCGCAGGCAGGCCCCTGTTCCCAGGCTCCACGGTGGAGGACGAGCTGCACCTGATTTTCCGGCTGCTGGGTAAGCGAGCCTTGAGGGGACCAGCTGGCAGAATTATAGTGTGTTGGTGGTTACCAATTGGGCTAGCTCATTGTCTGTTAATAGATGTTGGTTTTTATCTGTGGAATTCAGCCATTTGGCAGTGCCAGCATAGAGTCATCATGCACCCAGTGGACTAGCTTAATTTTTCAACTCACCCCTGGTGCAAGTTAGAAAAATGTAACATTGACATAAATATTAAGTAGACCAATTTCCCTCTTGGGATATTTTAAAATAATGACTGGTTTGAATCGGTTATTCTAAATTTAACTATATTTTTTTACTGCAGCTGTGTTTTGGGATTTATTAAAATTCGTTAATCCAATTAGTGTTAGTGTCATGGGATAATACCTCATTCTCTGGTGTAGTTCCCATAGTCACAGATATTCAAAAGTGCGATATGTATGAGGGCAGAATAGAAAGTCCCCTGTAACAGAGCATCAGTCCCGACTCTAACATTTTGGCGGCCAGGAGGTCCTCGTGAACGACTTCCACAGCACCCTCTAGTGTTCGCCAACGACATAAGGAATGTTTTGCTGCCATATGCAAACAGTTAAACTTAAAGGAAATTAACAATTTTTTTTTTTATTTGCAGGGACACCTTCAGAGGACAATTGGCCAGGAATCTCATCAATTGAAGAGTTTAAATCTTACAATTTTCCCAAATACAAACCGCAACCTTTCATCAATCACGCCCCAAGGTTGTGCGCTCGCCGTTGGATTTTGTGTTTTATCACTTATTTCTGCCATTGTGCTGTGTCTGTTTCAGATTGCATGTCTCGGGTCGCTGCGTGTTTTCCGTTGCTGAAAATGAGGTTTTGCTCTTATGACTGACCTTTGCTCTCAGTGCTCGGGAGCAATGGTGTGGGTGTAGTGTTGTGTGAGACCCCCAGGAATTGTAGGGGTCTTTCCTTCCACAACCACCCCTCCTGACCCTGTTCTCATTAGCTAGCTAAAATGAGCTACTCTCACTTAGAGATAAGAGACACAGTACTACAAATTAGCATGTGTAATCTGGTGCACGGCAGCTCTGCGGATATCATCCCCCATTAAAAGTCTAACTCATGCCGCGTTTGGGTCGCTCGACTCACATTCCACGGTGGAGAAGAGGGCAAAATTGATCTAGAAGTCTGGTTCCAAATTAAACACAACGGTGGCGTTATCGCCTTTGAGCATTGTTGCCAGGTCCAGCAAAAATAAGCTAGCCCAATATTTGAAACCCCAATATACTCTATCTCAAAGAAATAAACTTTACATTCAAATGTTCAACATTTTAAATCTACAGTACACAACGATATCAGACAGACACACTCTATTCCCGTTTGCCAACTTTTGTAAGTTGCCTGGAGTGAGATTTTCAATTCTAGATAAGTCTGTACCCACATGCATTTACCTGTAACAGTTTTATTACCTTGTAAATAGTCTATTGAGTTTGCAAAGTACCCCAACGCTTCTGATGTACCTAATTTTAAGTTTGTAATGGAATATATATTTGACATAAGATTGCTAGCATGAGTCTGACAGCGTGAGGGTCATGCCAGATGCATGAGAATTTGGCAACCATGCTTTCCATGTGCGTCTGTCTGACTTTCGGTGGATAGCGATTCAGTATTACTCAGCAGTAGGAGCCACTTGCATTCATAATACTTAATTTCTATTTCCCCTATAATTCCGCTGCTGCAGAACATTATGAAAGCACCCAAAAAACCTGCGACCTCCTAATATTTACCCGCAACTGTATGTTCAAAATAGCCCAATTGGCCGGGCAAACTGCGGACCTGGCATCTCTCCCTTTGCGGGCGGCAAAGCGACCGGAAGTCATTTATTCTGTATGTGAGGGCGCGTCTCCAGGCGACGAGGATCTATGAGGCGCCAAACCGAGCAAAAGCCAAGCGAAAAACGCGAGAGGAAACTAACGCATGTACGCGAGAGATGTTGAAAATGCGCGCAAGCGACAGATTTACAGCGCGAGAGATATTGAAAATGCGTGCGAACGAACGAAAGTACGCGAGAGATGTTGAAAATGCGCCACAGAGGATGAGTTCTAAGGGACAGCATAATACTCAAAATAAATATATCTATAAATAAATGGATAAATACTAAAGTAAGTAATTAAATGTGCCCTGTTATTTTAAATTATTTCGTGAAAGGTATTATACTTTGTATTCTACCTATAATCTTCAAATCGTATTTTGTAATAATGTGCTGATTCTCATTAGTCATTATTAAAAATATTATATATATTTTTAATAATATTTTACATAATAGAAATTATTAATTAAATAATTCGAATTATATTTCACAATAAAGTTCAACTTTCCACATTGATGTATTTCGGAATGACGGTTTCCCGAACCAGCTATAAATATAATGTTTCTTTTCATGATAATGGTGCGCTCTGTCAGCAAGGGAGTGAAATCGAGCTTGTGCTTGAATCAAGTGTTTGGAGAATGTTTTCACGGTGACTGAATATAGAAACATCGAAAATAAGGAACGCCCTCAGGGTATAAGCCGTAAGACAAAATACGTGTTGACATGCTACTTTTTTACCCCCTAAACACGGTAAAAAAAAAAAAAAAAAAAACGTTTGTCCGGTTTGGTTTACATTGATTAATTAATTAATTGATTGATTGACTGATTATTATTCAATCTGGCAACACTATCCCCGCCGAACCGCCCGCCATGTGAACGTACGGTTGCAGTTACGCGGCGAAAGTGAGATTGAGCCGAGTATTTACGGGCCAATCACGTCTAAAAACCTCCCCCCCAAACAACTAAGACTTGATCACAGCTTTGCACCTGGTCTTGTGCATTTTAAATTCATCTACCTCGTTTCGTAATGTATCAGATCGTCTACTACATTAATTGATATATCAGTCAACATAGGTCGTGATTTTAAGTTTTCTGCGTTTTTGGCCATTTGTAATTGTGACCTCTCTGTGACTATATGTCGGTGTTCTAAAGAACTTAACACTACGCATGTAGCAGAGTTCCCAACTTTAGTCACCTGGCTGGCGTGAGATTTTAAATTCGAGACCAGTCGGCACACAGATTTACCAGGTTTCTGTAAACCTTGTAAATGGTGTGCAGGGTTACCAAACTACCACAACGCTATTGATGTAGTTAATAGGCTTATAATGCAACAATATAGCTTTGCCGTAAGATCTCTTGCGTGAGCGTTGAGTCTTAAATAGTCAGCGTCACGCCAAATGCGTGATAGTTGTCATTACTGATGTAGCGAGACACGTTTCTTTGTGGCTGGATAAGAGCATGTGAACGGAGTGGAGCGGTGAGAATTTCCGCTCCTCGCTCACGAGGCTGTTGGCTCCGCCCGCTCCTCCGCTCTAATTCGCACTAAGTCGCTCCGCTCAACACCGCTCCTCGCCCCACTAAAATTTCCTCCCGCTCCAGTCAAATCGCTCCACTCTCGCTCCAATTTAAAAGAGGGGCAAATAATCTGCATGCCTAACAAATATCACCTTAAACCGATGCCTTATATCATAAAGAAATGTGCGCAACGGCACTCAGAACAGAAAATATTTATTTTTAAACAACATATAGGCAACAATGGACAGGTTTGGCATGGCATTCCACACAAAATAGGCTTAAAAATAAAGGAATCAGTGGGCTTAATAGCCTAAAGAATACACAGGCTAAGCGCATCCACGTTTATTTTCTGTTGATGCTGCTGCGTCTCTATAAAATAAAATTTTACTGACAGCGTTACGTGAATTTAAAAAATCCTATTAGACCTAATTTGAATGACAAACTAATTTATTTGATTCCAAATTATAGGCTTTTATTTACTTTATTGACTTGATATGCTACAACCATATAAAACTTGCTCACGTTTTGCTCTGGCCTCCGCGTGTTCGCTTAGCACACTCATGTTTCCGAGAAAGGTCTTTTTAGATTCCAAAGCGGATCTAAATCTTGATAATTGTATAGATGAATTCTGGGAAGATGAGCGGTATCGGAGCGAAAATGGAGCGAGACAGCGGCCGCTCCAGCCTTAATTAAAAAACCGCTCCGCGCTCTGACCAAATTTCACCCGCTCCGCTCCTCGCTCACGCTCCGCTCCACTCTGCTCACATGCTCTGGGCTGGATGCGCTTTTAAGTCATTGAGTGGAGCTCCGATTTCAGTAAAGACGCTCCTCTACTTATGAACTTTCAACTTACGAACTTTCAGACATGCGAACGAAGAGGACTGCAAGTCCAAATTGTGTTCATTGTGCTCCCGTTTCCTGTCCGCAACATCATTTGTTTTTTCTGCGCGCCAATTCCGCCTAGTACGACTTCTGGTCGCTACTCCCGCCGCACAGCAGCGTAGCGTGCGTACTGCCAGCTTCCTAGTTCTTTGAACTTGCGTATACCCTTAAATGATGTTGAATAACGACTTAGGAACATTTCAAGTGTAAGTAGAGGAGCGTCTGTATTACAATATTTACAACGTGCCTTACACCCATCATTGGCAACAGGGACGATTTTTAGTTCTGGGTCTGTTTCCCATTCCTTTCGGTACTGCTTATTGTAATCTCCTCCACTTTGGCGTGGTTTATGATGATAATTTTCTCACTGTCTTAACTTCTTTCTACGTGATTGAGAATATCCGCCAACTCCAGTTAAACACTTCCCCCAAATTATTTGTATAAAAAAATAATAACCGCCCGATATACGCTGAACCAGCCCAAAATTTCACTACCCGACAAAGGAAATCAAAAGAAGCCCAATTGGGCAGAAACCTGCCCAATCTGGCAACAGAGAGCGGCGAACGTATGCCGCTAGAGTTGTGACGTTCGCGAACGAACCGATTCTTTTGAACGGCTCATAAACATGAACGATGGGAGCCGAGTCGCGGCTGGAGGGGAGCCGTTCTTTCTGTCGTTCTTTTTTTCCTATGCGTGTTTCACACAGATGCACACAAATTAGCTCCTCCGCGAGACAGAACAGTTATAGGGGGAGGGGCGCACCCAGCGCAGGGGTGCTACTGCCTAACAGCATGATGATAGTTGTGCACGCATCCTTCACTTCCACATTGTGTGGAAGTGTTTGTAGTAAAAGCTGTTTTGCACAGAAATTCATTGCAGCCGGCTTTGTTTTTGATGTTTATTTGTGAGTAGGTATTGTATGAATAACATAAGTCAACGTAGCTTTACACATACACACACTTTGTACTAAAGGTAAATCCAAAATAGTGATGTCACTGTCTAAGCAGAGGGATGTTGTGCAACCATATGGAATATAGTACACACATGACAAATGAGGTAATAATCAATATTTCAGAATAATTCAAACTCAGATATTGGTGTGTGATATCTGAGTTTTAATTATTTGACTACAAATCTCACCTCATCATTCCTCCCAGTGATTATTTCCAGGATAAACTGAGATGCCCCCAAGCTGGCTTCTTAAAACTGACTAAATATTTAAAAAGAGCCAAAAGAGCCGTTCTTTTAAACGGCTCTTGGAAAGGAACGGATCGCCAAGATCCGGATCCCCTCAAAGAGCCATAAATCCCATCACTATATGCCGCTGCCCGCGTTTGTAAGCGCGCGTGCGCATGCACATGCCCCTGTACATCCGGCTAGGCACGCGCACGAGTATGTCCACAGCTTTCGGCGTGTCTGCAAATCCGTGGTTGTTTGTAGAGGGAGAAATAATACAAATATAAAACTCATTCCGCGGCATGACAAATGTTATAGTGCTTAACGTGTACGGTTTTAACCAGCAGTCTTTCAGTTTGGTCATTTAAGTTTAGGCATTAAAAACGTTGTCTGTGTTCATTGCTACACACTGCGTGCGTGTTATTGACCCCCTTAATGCATATGCATTCATGTATTTCATTGTTGGTGGGTTTGTATCGCAGCTCTTTTATACCATGAATACACGTTACTATTCGCGTAGGTATGCCTGCCCTCGGCCTATGTATACTAGCGGTATTCTCTCTCTCTGCCTGCACTCCCGGGAGGAAATCCTGTGGAATGTATGAAACTGCGCTCAGCTTCCTTCCTTCCGCCCGCCATCCCTCGCGACGGCGCCCCTCATCTCTCTCCCTCCCCCTCTCTTTCAGGTTGGACACCGAAGGCATCGACCTCTTGTTAGCGTTTCTGAAAGTGAGTATTGCATATAGTTTCTCACCGGAGGGTGTTGCATGCTTGTTCTGTATCAAAACGCCTCGTGCGTTTCCCCGGAGATTTTTTCTCTTTTTTTCAGATATCAGCAAATTTATATAATCTCTCCCCTGCCCTATTTTTGCATCGCCCGCTGCGATACCATGTGTGATACCATAAGCTGCCAGGAGGTGGCGCCGTCAGTCATTAAAAAATGTTTTATTTCTACTCACATGAACATACTACATTTACACCTTAAAACCTTAAAAAAATGTTGTAAAAATGCTTATATCTAGTTTTTAAAAGTAGTGGTTATTTTCTTTAGATGGAGAACATGTTTAAATTTTTTGTCTTGGTGATCTTTGCACACATACTGACAAAATCACCAGCTTCTCAATACATTTCAGTTATCAGAGGGTTTTGAGTGTAGAAAATATTTGAAACTGATCAAGATTATCCATCTTGCATTTTGTAGTCGAATAGATTTAGCACAATGTTGTTTACCTCTGTAGCTCTATAAACGGAGCTTGCAATTTAATTTGTGAGTTCATAAACCTGTGCGTCTGTCGTGCAAGTCATTGTTTTGGTAGCAGTGCATATGTGTGACATAGATTGTGTTGAACTGCATCCTGAATGTGGAGGCCCTTAACCTCAGTACAGCAGACAGGCAGTGCAATGCTTTTAATAGGTCAGCTGGATTCATGTCTCTGTCTTTGTGCTCCCCAGTATGAGTCTAAGAAGAGGATCTCAGCCGATGAGTCCATGAAGCAGCCTTACTTTCACAGCCTGGGAATGAGGGTGCATGCGCTGCCAGAGGGTGAGGATGCTCTGTTTCACACACACACAGGCCTAGTGAGCAGAATAGGAAGTGCACAGAGAGCACATGGCACACAGATAAATGCAATCAGACTCCAGTCTCATGCATGCACACATACTGGTGTTCCCGCCTGGTAATTATTGTCTTTGGAGGGCCTTCCCATTGTTCCTTTATTCTTAAACATACCCACACAAACTGTTTAACAGACTTTTGGCCTTTTTGAGTCCAATTTATTAAAAGGAAAACAAAAGTATGTTAAGAAATGGTATTTGATTTCTCTGGAATTTGGATGTTTTAAAACCCTGCAACTGTGTTTCTCCCACAAACAGGTGCATCGATATTCACACTGAAGGAGATCCAGCTTCAGAAGGATCCAGGCTATCGGAGCTCCTCTTACCCCGAATCAGGTAAGGGCATCGAGCCGCTCCGTTCAAACATGGCTGCTATGCCCAGACCCCAGAGGCCTCTCCTGGGCTTCCCCTGAGCCTCTGTGGGTGGTGAGGAGCGGCTAAAATGTGGCAACATCAAAGCCAGGGCTGACGCTTGGGTCTGAGTGTTAACTGTGCATAACTGACTCCCTTCTACCCCTGTCTGTGCAGGAAACAGCAAGAACAGAAGACAAAGCATGCTCTTCTAGACTGGGACCCTCAGCTCCAAATGAAGACATCGATTTCTTCTCATGTATAAACTGACCCACCAGCCCTGGGGGGGAGGGAGGCGGGGAACATGCTTGTGGTGGGCTTCCCCTCTCCCATGCACGGCCCCCGATCCCAGGGGATCCCCCACCCCTTGTCCCCACCCCACTGGTGGATCTTTAGCGATCCCAAGTTTTCTTGCAGACCATGTGGACTGAAGGAGATGGACTGTAGGTGTTAATTTATTGGGGATGTCCTTTGCTGCTAAACTACTGTCTGTATTTAACACGCTTGTGTTATCATGTGACCTTGCTTGGTTACCACCCACCCCCATCACCCCAGACTGGTCACAAAAATGATTTTGTTGATGGATGTTTTTGGTCTTGTTGCAGTTGTTGTTTTTGAGAATTCAATGGTTCTGGTTTCTTCTACAAAACTCCCGCTGGTTAACCTTGAGTTGTCCTGCATTGCCAGACCTTTAATTGAAATCTTCTGTTGTGTTTATTTTAATTTTTTTAAAGCTGTTGTTTGATCCTGAAGCAGCTGATATTTTCTCAGACTGAATGCTGCATTCGGATCCCGGCTCAAGCGCTGTGTTTTTGTTAAAGGCTGCGACAGCATCTCTGCAGATGTCGTTACCGTGGTAATGGTGCTGTGTAGTCACATGACCCCATGCAACTCTACCCCCTACCCCAGTTCACCTTACTGTTGCCGAGCATTTCAAGAAGAATCCAACTGGATGGGATGCAATCTGCTGTCACAGGACCATACCCTCCCCCCCCCATGACGCACTTGTCTGTGAGGAGCATAGCAGTGCAGAAGGAACCAGGGGTGATGGCGGCTGGCCGCCGCCGTGTTGAACCACCGTTTGATGCAAGCCACACCCTGTGTTGCTATGGAAACGGCTTAAACACTGGATCATTTCTAATGAACAGATGATGGGTTGCCACTTCTCTGGCCATGAGCCCCGTCGGATGGATGGACTGCCTGCCTGCCGACTTTCTTCCTGCACGGCTTTGGACAGCTGGTTGGCCATGCCCCCGTATCTAGGGGGTGCCCCATGCCTCATCTCTGCTACTGTGCTCGTACGCTTCTCTCTCGTGCACCTAGCTGTGTATATTTAGTTGTGTTAGCCTCTCTTCTGCAGTCTAGTTTAGCGGATCTTCAGTACCTGTAAATCTGTTTCTGTATCCAGATGGTTGGTCTGGTTAGCTGGTCATCAGGGGAGTATTAAAAAAAAAAAGAAAATATACCAGTAGTCACTGTACTAGACTTCAGGGCCGTGAACATCCAACTTACAGAAAACGTAGGTTATTTAACAGTGTTAAAAAAGGCATTTTGTATGTTACATTTTAACTTTATTTGTGAATAATTGTGTAACTGTGGCATGTTGGGGGGGGGCATGATTTTTTTTTCTTTTGTTATTTTTACAGAGGAGAAAAATGAATAATATGGAAAATATGGTGTAACAGTTTGCATTGGACCACTATTTTGCCACCCACCCCCATGGAGAATGCAAATGGTGAAGAAAAATTTCAGATTGAAATTTTACATTTAACATCGTTGTGTTGCTTTCGACTGCCAGTAATATATTAATACTGTTGTACTTTTTTCCCCTGAGTGAGAGAGTGGTTTGATTTTATTTTATTTTTGTACCTTTTTTGGTGTTTTACGGGCAGAAGTCAACAGCGCATGGACCACTTAAATTTTTTTGTGTGTGTGTGTGTGTGTGTAAGTTCCCCCCCACCTGGATCTCTGAGTCTCACAGTGAACAGCTTTGACCGTTTAACACTTTTTACTGGAGATATTTATTTCTCATAACTATTGAAGTAAATTTAGTCAGTTTCATACAGACTTCTGCGGTGTTTGGTTGGTCTTTTAATTACCAGCTGTTTTGGCCAAAAGATGTCCGTGATAAAGTTGTAGGGGGTCTAAAATGAGGGCTTCAGATTCAGTGTGTCGTATAAGAAGGTTAAGGGTATTTGGGAAAGTAGCAGTCGCTGTATGAAGATGGTAGCTCACTGCAATGGTCAGGCTTTCCTATATGGGGCGAGGGAATACACCAGCTTCAATCACATATTTCGAAGAACAAGGATCAGATTTGTGAAGTGTGTGTGTGTATATATATGTGTATATATATGTGTGTATATATGTGTGTGTATATGTATGTATGTATGTGTATGTGTGTATGTGTGTAGGTATATATGTACAGTGGTACCTCGGTTCTCGAACTTAATCCATTCCGGACTCCGGATTGAATCCTAAAAAGTTTGAGTTCTGATCGAATGTTTCCCATAAGAAATAATGGAAAACCAATTAATTGGTTCCCGGCCCCCCAAAATTACACCTAAATATGTTTTTTTCTTTTTTTCTTTTTAAGCATTTAAACACAAAATGAACAGGATAAAACAAGAGCAGCATTTTTTTCTTAATGGCTTCCAAAACGATAAAGATCTTATCCCAACATTACCCCTGTCCTGCCCCGATCGTCCGCTCCTTCCGTGTGCCACGCCCCCTCGTTAACCTCGTGTGGGATCCCCATGTGATCAGCTGTTTCTGGTTGTTGTCATTAATCCTCTGTATTAAGTCCGCGTTTCAGTTTGTTTCCCCAGTCCGGTCATTGGGTGCGTTCGACTTGCTTACAGCACTGGCTTAAAGCAACGCATTCTGATCCTGACGCAATGCATTACGATTAGATGCATTGCGACCTCTCACCCGGCTGCACAAACTGGAACCGCCTCCGTGACGACACACCTTTGCCCTTATTGGCTGAAGAGTTTAGTTACACTCATGACGTTTGTATCCCAGGCAGTTCCGATGCGTAACCTGCTATTTATCATGAATATCAAGTAAAGCAGTGAGAACTGGTTTTCAGTTAATTTACCTAGTAAAATAAAGTTTAAATAAATGACATAAATGCTCTAATAGTACACGTAAGTTAGTGGTTTATTTATTGTTAGTTACTGTAATGTTGCGCTGCTTTATTAGGTTAATCGTCCAGTCTGTGAAGAAGGCATTAAAGTAAGAATTGCATTGTAGTATGACTCATTTATATTAGGTCAGCGTTCACGGTTCGACTTCTGATATTCAGATCGAGTTCTAGGTCAAACTGGTTTGTTCGACTTCTAGTGAGTTCGAGAACCGAGGTACCAATGTATATGTATGTATATGTATATATGTGTGTATGTGTATATGTATGTATATATATGTGTGTGTATATATACGTGTGTGTGTGTGTATATATATATATATATATATGCATGTACAGTTGTCCCTCGCCATTTCACGCTTCGACTTTCGCGGCTTCACTATATCGCGGTTTTTTCAAATACATTTATTCATTAAAAAGTTGATAGACAGTGAAAATGATACAGCGCACGCTCAGTTGTCTGAGTCAATTATACACCTCTGTATTGCAATTAAAATTAAAATTACTATACGTATGGACTGTAGGCCTATGTATTCGAGCACCCCCGCAAATCCTTCAACGCCAGGTGCAGCCGAATAATAAAGAAGTTAAGAATCCTTCTTTGCGGAATTTCATTTAACGCGGTAGAGTCTGGAACGGATTAACCGCGATAAATGAGGGATGACTGTATATATATACATACACAAATATATATATATATATATATATATGTGTGTGTGTGTGTGTGTGTATGTGTATGTATGTATGTATGTATATATGTAGGTATATATGTGTATATGTGTATATATGTGAATATATATGTGTATATGTGTACAAACACTTGTCTACCATCTTGAAGGAAGCCTTGTGAGACAGCTGTCAGGAGTTGAGGCCCTGCAGTCACCAGGTGAGCTCTGGAATTTCACTGATCCAGGACCAGTGTGGTGTGGTCACGATGGAGAGAGATGTATAAAGGCAGGAAGGGATGGATGTATGGATGAACCTAGCCAAGAATGTTGTGTGGAGCAGTGTTGAGGTCCACTGGAGATCCTTCTTCTATAGGTTTAAGAGTTTGAGTGGAATTTTAACTTCTCCATGACATTTAGAAGATCTGGACTCTCAATGTTTCAAATTCAAATCCAGTAACACTGCAAACCTTCTGATCCAGGGTTTCTTCACTGGTTAAAAAGTCCAGTCCAATATATCAACTTCCTATTTTGATGAGCAACATTGTCATTTTTGGCTTTCATTATTATCACTAAACAAAAAGTTGTGCACTTCTTGACATGTCAGCTTCTAACATACACAACCTGAAGCCGAAGTTTTAGCAGTTTGTTAGTTCTCCAAGGTCCCTAACAGGCTGCTTATAACCCTAGAACTAAGAGCAGAAACCCAACACAGAATAACAAGTTCAAATTCTAGCTTTAATGGAGCTGGAGGTGGAGGAGAGAACCTTTTAGTCTGCAGTTGACCTGGTCCTTTCAGTGTTTGGTCTTCCACAGACCATAGTCCTCATGATGGGGGCTTTGGAACCCCGTCTTGTAATTAAGCTGACCCATTGTGTTCCTTCCCAAGGAGAACTACATCCAGGAACTTTCAATCAATAAAACTTTATTATATGCAGGAGACATTGAGAATCCTTAATCTTTTTTGTAGTAACAATAGGCCTTGTGGTTGTTCCCCAGTCACTAAACAACTCTTATTTTCTCTCTCCAGATTTTGCTTTATAGTTTGAGAAAGAAAATTTTGAAAAAAATAAAATATTTTATGTAAAAATTACATTAACCTTCATCAGGCCAGCGTTTTGTTTTTCTTTATTTAATTTACATATTCCCAGCTTGGGGGGAAGGGGGGGTTAAAACACTGCACAGAGTGAGGTTGACAGAAAGATGTTTAAAAGCAAATATCTCAGCTGCTTCATTCCATTAGAAACACATCTTAGTTGAAGCAGCCACAGTTTTCAGTGTTTTTCATACTTGTGTACATAAGTATGCAAAATGGCTTGTGTTTTTTTAAAAAAAAAATCATTCAATAATGAATACAGAAGTATACTATAGCATTCAATGCTTTGTGTTTATTTATAGGCATAGTCCCTAGACTCTTAAAAAGCACAAAATATAAAATTAATATGAGAATACATTTGTATCAATTCCTTTATGAAAAAATAATTAAAAGCTATTACAAAGCCTTTTTAATGTACTGGAATTTCGTCTTTGAAAGAAGTTTTTTTTTGTTTTCCCATAAAGCTAGAAATAATACATTTACATAATCCTTACAATGGGAAGGCACAGCCGGTACTAACGTTAAAGCACAGTGCAGATGATACAATACAGTTTATTACAATACAATACAAAACGTCAATGACAGAAACCAGATTCACAGCCTCCAATGGAAATGAAAAAGATTTTTCTTTAAATCGGACATGGAAAAAAGCAACAATTTCACCCCTTTCTTTCTTGTCTATGTCTTAACACACACATGATGCACCAAGCACATTAAAATACTGACTATGTGTCTTTGGAAACATTGGCGTCCTGTTTAGAAAGTGTATCTGCATCTGGAATCCAGTGTCACCCAATCAGGTCACACTCCAGGCAGTTTTGGTCCAGTCACACTCGACAGTGTTGAGCTTGGTAGTCTTTGGCTCTTGGGCTTCGAGGCCTCACGCAGGATAGGCCAGGCCAGGGATTGGCTGGTTTGACCCGGAGGCAGGATACACAGCAGCGTGACCAAGGGCACTCGCGTGAGTACCAGTTGGGCCCGTGAGCTTGGAAACCCGAAACCGCTAATGGGAAGGGTGTGTGTGTGTGTGTGTGTGTGTGGAGGGTGGGGCATACGTTTGAAGGTATTTTATTGGCTAAAAACAAAACACAAAAGTTTATAAAAAAAAATAAATCGTAAAGAAGAAATGGATTTTCTGTACATGGTTTCACTGTGAATGTGCAAAACCAAAAAAAAAAACAAAAAAACCTAGAACGCTATCGCTGACTCTGTCCACCTGGACGGCCATGATGATGATGATGATGATGATGACGACAACAGTAACAGTGGCAGAGAGAGGGGACTGGTGGATGTGGTCAATGACCGGAGCCTGTCCGTTAGCTGCAGAGCAGAATCAGGACTTCTGGGCACTAGAGGAAAGCAGCAGGGGTGAGGAGGCTCCATCCAGGTTGGGCAGGGGCACTGGTATGTGCCCGTTGAGCAGGGTGGGGAACTGCGAGCACAGAAGACACTTGGTGAGGAGGCTGAGAGTGGCACTGCTCTGTGTGTATTTAAGGGATCGTGTGTAAACTGCTTCTTTATTAAGCTCTAAAAATACACTCAATGAAAGCAAGTGAGTGTATTTAAGGGACCATATGTAAGCTGCTTGATTATTAAGCTCTAAAGACACAAAACAGATAATATATCTGTACAAATGTCTTTACTGGCTTGGGTGATTTCCGGTAGAGGATGATGCAAAAGGCATGCGTTTGGCAGTTTGCACACCTACTTCCCACCTAAAGACGACCCATTTAAAGAGGTAGTTGTTAAATTAGAATATGATCAAACTGTAAACTAATTCCTGTCATGTGTTGTCATAATCCTAATGAATAATAGCATTGCATAGATGTCACACATTAATTAAAATTCTGTTATTTCACATGATAAAGGCAACATGAGGAGTCCAGGAACGGCCTATGGACTGAGTCTGCAGAAATTTCTGTTTGGCATGAAGCAGTGCATAATGTGAACATGCCCAGTGCCATCAGCCAGAGCTGCTAGGAGGACCCACTGACCAGACCAGACTACCCCACCATGACCCCACAAGCCCCCACCCCCCCAACCATCATCCTAACCCCAACCCCCAGCACAGGAAATGCCCCCTCCCCTCTGAAGCTGACAGGAAACATCTGTAGTTTATTTCCATGCAGAGGCACGCTGACAAAAGGCGTTTTGGTGGGGGGGGGGGGTGAGGCGGAGACACCATGGAAACGGACCCGTGATCCGGCCCTGGCACTGAAACCCCCCCACACTCCCGGCCGCATTTGTGGAAAAGCTGAGAGGGGAGTGAGCCAACCAGAGACTCGAAAGCTAAATAAAAAGCAGGGTGGGGTGGCGGCGGCGGCGGTGTGAGCCACTTCTCATATTCACAGCAGCCCCGTCAGCCAAAATTATGCGGGGGTGGGGGTCTCATGCTGGAAAGCACTGCAGAGCGACCCCCAGAGCCAGTTACAGGCAGTGCATTCTCGTTAATGGTCCTCGTGCCCAAAGCCATTCCATTCTAGTCACATGCAGAGCTGGAGATTCCACCATAAAAGTAATGTTGGTCCAGCCACTGCCTGATTAGTGCCATCGCCACCGGCTTCTGCGGTCCAGTCCGTGCCTGCCAGGGGGGCCTGACTCGCACGTTAGTCAGCGGTGATTTCATCCGGGGGAGTTGTCGCAATGGGGGGGGAGTGCACAAGGCGGTCATGTGGCCTGCTGGAGCAGGGTGACTAACTGCACTGACCTTTTGGACGCTCGGCCGCTGCGTGGGCTACGGATCGGTTCTCTCCCTCCCCCCCCAGTCCCCACCCACACCCACAGTGCGCCGTTCCATGCTAGCCCTCCTGGATTGCCACTGGGCCCTGGCCGCGATACGGCAGCGGGCAGCTACTATTGTTCTTGTATGGGAGGGGCTGCCAGCAAGTACACAGGAACAGGATCTAGCTTTGGTCACCATGGCGACAGTACGTCTTCCTGTTGTCCTTTCCTCATGCTTTTTTTTGAATATCCTCATGGGGGCTCCAGAAAGCAGGGAAGTGGGCCGGACTGGTCAAGGACGGCCGTGCGTAAATGAGACCCAGCTTGCTGACCTGCAGGCTTCCCCTGTGCTCAGACAGGAAGGATGCCCAGGTTGACTCCCCCCCCACCAATTGTCATGCCTGACTGCTGAGACCGCACTTAGCTAGGAGGTGGGGACAGAGGGGTGAGTTTGCTATCCTGTCCTCGTCGCTTTATTCAGTACAACATGACCAATATAACCTGTCCTATTACCTGAGTGTGACTCAGAGCATAACATTGGTTACCTCTCTAATTGCCCCCAACTCCCCCCCCCATGTCCTATCCTCCCTGACCCCTTCTCTCCCAGATCTACACTTCTGTCCAGCCTCTGCTCCAACTGGCGGTCCTACCTGGAACAGGGAGCTGTGGCCCTGCAGCCGGGCAGGACTCAGGGGGGCCACGGGGCTCAGGCTGCTCCAGAAGTGAATGCTGGACAGCAGAGGGCTGGGAGTCAGCAGCAGCCCTGAGGGAGTCTGCAGATATAGCACAGGAAGGTTAGGGTCAGGGGCTTCAAATCAAGATGGCACTCAGCATGTGAACATGAAATTCACTTTATGTCACATGGTTTCTATGGAAATACCTGCATTCTGCCTTATACATGTGTGCTATTCATACTGAGTGGGTGAAAGGCTGTGAGTGCTGTAGTAACTAAAGACCCAGGCCTTGCTACTGCACATTTAAATAAGAAAGTTTATGCACAGATTGTTAATTACATATTGCTCTGGGTGGGAGTTTTAGCTAAGATAAAAGATTCTGGCAGAAGTTTAAATGCCTGTAATTAGACATAGATTTATCAAAAAGTGTGTAACTCTAATCACTCATCAGATTTCAAATTTGAAAAGCTAAAGATAAAAGATAAAATGGTAACACTCTATACTTTTTTTCACTACTGAAGTACAAGATATGAACAAATCATGAACAAATATAGATACTTCAGATAAAAGATGCATCAAGATTCATTAATGATGAAAAAACATGAGATCAGTATTCCAGTTATTACTTGTTCCTTAGTAGTTCCTTAAGTAATTAAGTTTACAGAATTAACCGAAATAGTAACAAATACAGTAACTGCTTGAGATAAAACATGCATCATGATTAATTAGTGATTTAACATGTGATCAGTATGTAACAGTTTGTAGTTAATTAATACATAAATAATAGTATAATACTATATTATTTGTACCCCAACAAGGAAAGTGTTACCAAAAAAATTACTACCATCGGACATCTGAGCAACCACAGCTGTCACTTGCATTAAGTATAGTTTGCAGGAGAGTGAAGTTTCTCTTTTCTGTAAATGAGTTTAAAGGAGGTTTCTCCTTATTGTGTTTAAGAGAGAGATTTCCATAAAAATGAAGTGTTTGAGAGAGAAGTGTCTCTTTATTTTTAGTGTGTTTGATAGGTTTCACCTTCTGGTGATTATTCCTAAAAGTGAAACATTTTTCCCTTTGGTCAGTATCCATCAGTGTTTGGTTGCAGGAACAGTGTGAGACAAGCTTCTTGCACATTTGAATGAACCCCTTAACGGTCAAGACATTGAAGGCCCCGCCCCCCTGAGGCTAGGGAGGAGCAAATGAAATCAATATCTGACCCCTCTCCCCTCCCCCAGACCTGCCACCTAAATGAAGTAGTGTTGTGTTGCTGTGAGACTCGGCGTGGCGTTCATGATCTGCTGGATTAAGCACATATGGTTTCATTTATGGATTTTCCTCTCTTATCCCCTATCTGGGGGGATTTGGGAGCCCTACATTTTCCTTTTAAACTCAGGTTGCCTTCTCCTATACAATCTAAGCCCTGGTGAAGTAAATATGAACACATATAAGATTTCAGGCACATGTTTTCTGTTTCAGATGATCTTCCCAGCAGTATTCATATATGGATTCATTATGAACATTGTGGGAACCATTGCACATGTGTTACTACTGTATTGCAATGAACACTGCAATACATTAAGTAACAACTTGCTTTAAGGTATCACATCAGCACTAAATGTTGACATTAGCACTAAAGATTGACACAACTGTGTCTCAGAGAAAGGCTGCACAACCATTGATAGTCTTTGTCAGGTTTCAGCCCATTCGGCTGTTGCTATTTACCTCCAAGTTGATATTCTTTAGGCATGCTTGGAGTGCTGGTTAAGAAATTGTACCTGGCCATCGCACAGCCAAACAAACAGCAGGTCAACCAATGAAACAGATGGGAATTCTAAGCTTTTGATTGGTTCATGGGTCGGATGAGTTCTAATTTTCAAAGCAAGTAACAGCAGGGCCTGTAGCACAAAGCTGGATTTCTTGCCAGATAACTTGTTGGAATCCAGTCCAATCCAATCCAGTTCAATTTTATTTGTACAGCGCATTTTCTCAAAGCGCTTTACGTTACCCCTGCCCAAAGCCCCCAGTGAGGAAGCCAGAGGCGACAGTGGCAAGGAAAAACTCCCTAGAAGGAAGAAACCTCGGGAGGAGCCAGACTCAGAGAAGGAGCCCATCCTCCAGGGGCCGGCAGAGGAAATCAAATGAACAATGAAAGTGTAATGTAAGTGAACAAAGGTAAAGCCCATTTAAACTGGGGTACCTTAAATCCAAGAAACAAGCAAGAAACCTAGCTTCTGGATACCGGCCGCAGAGAGCTAATATTATGCTAATATTATTAGCTGTGCTATTGACGGTTAGGATAGGAGGGTTTCTATTTTTCAGTTATCTTTATCTAAGAGTTCATCTGAACCATGTATCCAGTGCAGGGTAGGCATAATATTTACAGAAATATTTTGATTCTTCATCATGGACAGCTATTAATAAGCAGCAGTGCTAAGGACTTAGTGGAGCATAGAACCGTGTGCACAGGAACCATCCTGACGCAGGGGTGTACCGTCGACACATACCTGTGCAGTGAAGAAGGCGGGGGTCAGGGACCCTGATGGAAGTGCTGGGCTGTTGAGGGCAATGGATCCGATGTCACTTCCTGACAGTAACAGGGAGGGGGCTGAGATCTCCAGGCCCTTGGGCTTCTTGGTTTTGGGCGGGAGTCCGTTGCTGCCACTCCTCTTCTCAGCGGGCTGGGTGCCGCGCTCTCTGTGACCGGCTGACAGGTTGAGGGGTTGGGCTCCCTGCTCCAGGTCGTCCATCTCCACCTTGGGGCTCCGCCCCTTCCCGGGCAGGAAGCCAGGGCTGGGGGAGGGGGAGGGTGAGCGAGAAGCAGACAACCGGGGGGAGCCAGGGAGGCTGGGTGGGAAGAAGGCCTCTCCAGGAGAGGAAGAGGAGGAGGAGGAGGGGCGGGGCGGGGAGGGAGGCTGCGACACCGCTGAGTGGGCCCCTCCCTTCTCAGAGCGGTTGGGCACAAAGCGGATGACGGTCCGCGCCTCCTGAGGGCGCTCCGCCCGTGGCTCCACCTTGACGGCTCGCAGCAGTGGCGGCTGGTTGTGCAGGGAGCTGATCGTGAAGGACGAGTACAAGCCCGAGTGGAGGTATTCGCTCCGGCAGGCAGCAGCAGTGCCCCGCAGGCCTGACAGCGCCACCTTAGGGGGGTCCTCCTCGCCGTCAGCCCCCAGCAGCTCCGCCTCCTGAAGAATGGCCCCACCCCCCTCACGGCCCATCTCCACTGTCTGTGGGTCCATCTTCAGAATCTCCGGGAAAGACACAAACTTGTACACAAACTTCTGGCCAATCACCTTCTTGATGATGTTCTGGGAACATGAGGAGTAGGGTGAATTAGTGAAAGAGCTTTTAATATTTCCCTAGAACTACTATTCCATTTTGTCACAAAATTCTTCCAAATGTTTCCTTTATGTGACACAATATTCCCCTCTATCTCTGTGTTGTGAAGGTAGGACTGATAAAGTTTTGACAGCAGAAGTTTCTGGGTCCTCTGTAAATGTCAGAGGGACATCTGTACCTGTAAACCCATGAGCACACATCTATGCTGAGTATCATGGGACATAATTGTGGCATTATGGGGCCATTTGATTAGTGCGATAAAACCAGAACTTTTACTAAACTAAGAAAATTATACTGACCTGTTTGGTCTCATTGTTCTTTATCCTGACCACTCAAAGTGGTTAGTTTAATTTAATGCACTTTCACTTTTGTCCTGTCCTACTTGTTTTTCCAGTCTAACGTACCGTTGAGCTAATCAAATAAGCGTAACAGCCATCTGTGTTTATCAACGCCCTGTACGACAACAAGCATGTAACGATTCACTGATTATGCAACAGCTCCTCACAGTGAATCTCCCTGCAGTAGCTTGTACACAGACTACACACTGACTCACCATATCATAGGTGATACATGATTCATGTCATAATGGATATATTGATTCTACGGATCATACTTTATATGTCGACTCCCTGTGTATCTGTATAGTAGCTCAGAGTCACCTTGACATAGTTCAAACTCTGACTCTCTGTATGTTAGCTTAGACTCACCTGGTCATGCATTGATTCTCTGTATTGCAGTTTATTTTCCCTCTATCATAGTTCACATATTGACTCTCCGTATTGCAGCTCAGACTCATCGTGTCATAGTTTACACACTGACTCTCTAAACTGCAACTCAGACTCACCTGGTCATGCACTGAATCTCCATATTGCAGCTCAAACTCACTCTGTCATAGTTCACACACTGACAATCCGTATTGTAGCTAAAACTCACCTGGTCATGTACTCTCTGTATTGCAGCTTAGACTCACTCTGTTATAGTTCATGCACTGACTCTCAATATTGCAGCTCAGACTCACCTTGTCATAGTAGTAGCGCAGGGCACGACTCAGCTTGTCGTAGTTCATGTTGGTCTTGTTCTTGCGCAGGCCCCACAGCTTGGCCACCTCCTCAGACTTAAGCAGCTTGAACTCGCCATCGTTGGAGGTCCAACAGATCAAATGCTTGTGATTCTGGTCCAGAAGCAGCTGCAGCAGGAACTGCCACAGTGTGATCGCGCTTTCCATCCCTAGGACCAACGAGATGCAGCCATACCTATGAAACCAACAGTCATCACATACATGACACTGCCACTGAACCAGCATCAATGCAGGCACGAGACAAGGGACATCATAGGTATTACAATGATCACCATAGTGCTAAATTAAAAACACCTTTCTGGGTCTCCAGCTATGCTGTAGATCATTTCTAGAATCTTACAGCTAAACAAAGCATTCCTGGAATCAATGATTATTATCTCTGCTCTAAGTACCCCAAAGCTTCTATCTATGAATTCAAAACATGGCGTGCAGCAAGAACATGGCTGAATCGGTAACAGGAAGAAAAGGAGACGAGCCAGATGAGGCACAGACACCATGGACTCCCTTGGGCTGTTTGTGGAAGTCACTCCAGACCCAAACCAACTCCATAAGCCCATTATGTTTCGGATTGTGAGGTGGTTTGGAGGGGAGCAGCTTCCAGTAGAAGATGCACAAGAGGAGCAATGAGAGAGGCAGCAGACCCACCCACAGGTCAGAGACGGGCGCAGTAGCTGAATGAGCCACAGCCCGGTGTCTGAGCTGGATGCACAAACACTGCGAGGCTTTGAACTGAACTTCACATGAGAAAACTGGCACAGGAATCCGCTTCTCGTTCAGGATCCAGCAGACATTACTGCGCCTTTCCTGTTCTGCTACATGTTAAGCAAGGCCTGTAAAAAGCCCATGTCAGACGTCCAGTACAGCCTGTGGTTGTGCCAAGAGCTTAATTAGCTTGTTCAGGAGGTTTAGGGGCTGATGTCATTGGGGCTTCAGGAGGAAGGGGCTGTTGGTGGTGACTCATGGCAACTTTTCCTTTTAGTCTAAAAGTTTTTTTTTCTTCCGAAAAGTGGCTCAAACAACAAGATGCTGATGCAGGTTTACATTTATCAGGTCAGCTCCCTAAACTAAACTGTAGTTCTTACTGACGCAATGACAAAACGCATCAAATCTGAGGTCTTATAAAATTAAATTCTAATCACCCTATTGAATGACAATAGGAAATGATATGTGGGAGAGGAAGGTCTCTCCAGGAGAGCAAGAGCAGGAGGGGCAGGTTGGGAAGGAAGGCCCACAGCCCAAATCACATGAGCACATAATGCTGACAAAGCCAATCAGCTGGGATTCCATTCCCTGGCCCCAACATGTACCTTTGGCTAGGCTGTCAAATGCCTGCTAGATACTGGTTGTCACGGGTGAGTGTCACGTTAATCTTTCAATCAGCTTGTAGCCTTCCCATATACCCATTGCTGATTAGCAGCATGAAAAAGAGGGTGGGGCTGACAGAGCTGGGACTTGGGAGAGCAGCGGTACAGCTCCTGTTAAACACAGAGCTGCAGATGCCGAAACCAAAAAGCTGTAACCAGGATGGAAATGAGGGGATCATACTGAGCTGCTTCCGTGCCCACAATCTCACAGAGCAGCCGGTCTGCTGCTGTATTTTTGGATTCAGAGCCGTAAGTAGCGTGGCTATATTGATTCAAGCACTCCGGTCATCTGGAGTAAAGAGCATCCATTTGTTGCAATCATGCCGAGATCTGGCAGGGTTGAGCACTCCAATTAGCCCCTGCCCCAAGCCCTGCGTTCACCTGCCCTCGGCGAGACCAATGTGCTCAGAAGGGGGGCCATTTTCTGTGTGACAGTAACCTCCCCCCCCATGCCCCAGGTGAAACTGACCAAAACATATCAAGAAGAGTGTCTGTTTTTCAAGTGGCTGTGCAAACAGAGGTATGCCTCTAATTCATATAGAGTCCTCTATTATTCTAAATACCCTTGTTGGAAAATTCCTAGTTCCTGTCCTTAAAATCAGGGTGATGACCATGTTCCTGCATAAAAACAGGCTTATTTACCGTTTACCGTACACCATGACTGTAGCACATAAATACACAAAATGTATAGCATGATCAGTAATATGACATATTTACCTGCTTTTTATTGTTATTTGTAAGGCAGCCTAGCTTAAGCGCCCTCCTCAGGCGTGTGATGTCAGGGTCCCACCCAACAATTGAACCTGCTCCTGCTCTCTGATGGGTTTTAATCATGCTCACAAAACAAGTCAGACAGCAGACAGCCCAATGAGCGTGGAAGGGAAAAACCACATTTAGGCAAATGACTACCCATAATGCCCCACTGTCATCAAATTTACCTTTACTGCCTTATAACATTCCAGAGGTGTGTGTAAACTTCTTCAAAGAACAAAGCAGTCATTCAGGTATCAATTAAATGATTTCATTTGTGTTATTAACATAACTAATTAAGTTGTTTATATCATTTCCTGGTTCTAAACAGAAACTTCTAGGCAAATACGACATACAGGAAGAAGAAAGTCATTTTGGTTTATTAATAGAAATGCAGAATTTCAGAATTACTTGAAAGATGTTGAAATTGTTTGCAACCAAGCAGAATAGCATTTCTCCTTTGAGGAGAGATTAAAAGGGTGTTGCTAGGCCTCCAGCAAAGAGAGTCAGATTGTTGAAAGGGGGGGGGTGCTAGATGATCCTGCTTCTCCACTGCTTCTCCACTGACGGAACCGGAAGCTGCACCCATGCAGCAGGAGGAGCCTTACTTGCAAAAAATTTCGGGAGAGCGAAGTAAAAAAATAATGAATATTTATCAGGAAAAAGCAATATCAGCCATGTAAACATCAGATCACGAAGCTGAGCTCCACAGAGATATCATACGGTAGGTATCATCATTATTATGATCCCACAGCCTAGTTCTGGATGGATGGATGGATGATTATTCTCATGTTATGGTGTGATAGTGAGCACTGTAGGGCTATGGTTATGTATTACTATCATTATGGACCCACAGCCTACTTCTGGGGCACTTGACTGTGAGTTGTCTCTTGCCCAGCCGGTGTCTCACATTCTCCTCCTGTTCATGTGTGTTTCCTTCAGGAACCCTGCTTTTCCTTCACAGTCCACGGATGTGATGTGAATTAGAGGACTCTATATTGCCTGTAAAACCTGAATGTGTGTGTGCGCATGTGCCCTGCGATGGACTGGCATCCTGTCTTATGCGTGTGCCCTGCTCTAGATTATTAGCAGCTTAGAATATTTTACCCAAAGCAACTTATATAACTTACAATTTAACCCAGTTACTGACCAATTAAGGTAGTTTGCTCACGAACAGCCCAGCATGACTTCTGGGATGTTACCCAAGATGCTTTTAGTCCCATAACCCCTCTACCCTCTGATGTCAGAGTGGTGTAAACGTGAGGCGGACTGCTGGGAGGCCCTGCTCGAACCCCTGCTCCTCAGGGGCCCAGAGAGAGAAATGGGGGGGGGGGGGGGGGCAGCAGTGGAGGTCAGGCACCCCGCCAGCATGTCAGTAGCAGGAGGGGGTGGCACAGGGAGGGGTGTGATTCCTTAAAGTAATACGCTGTGTTCCAGCAGCCCCCACTTCTACAGGAAACAGAGGGGGCCAAATGCAGACCCACATCTAGGGGGGGGGGTGCCGCTGTCGCCTGTGCTGACAGGGCTAAAGCAGGTCTCCGATCGCGTGGTTTCAGGCAGGTTGGGTGCTTATAAATATGTCACACTATCCACCATCACACTGAATTCACCAAACTCCCTGCCCCCCCCCCCCCACTTCTGTGAACAAATAAATCACAGAGGCAGCCGTGCACGCTGGTCTGTGCTGTGGCGGGCGCTGCCCCCGCCCCATCAGGATCCGTTTACTCAGCTGACGACTCGCCACCTTCTCGTTTTCCCTTCCCCTCCCCCTAGTGGTGGAGGGAAGTGGGGGTGGGGGGCTGGCTGGCCGCCGGTCAAGCAGACAGTCCCCTCGAGTGCTCAAAGCAGAAATCTGCACTACCTGCTCCGACTGACTGGTTTAGTGCAGCTGTCGAGTGCTTTGGGGGGGGGGGGGAGTGAGTTCAGTGGGTCCGCCTGTCGGACTGGTACCAGACCAGAAGGTCTTTCCCGAGCAGTCGGCGAGGTGGATTTGACGGTAGCTTAGCGCCGCCCCGCCTGGGCCGGCCCAGATGGTTTACGGCCTCTGGATCCCCCGTCCTTTTCAGGAAAGGGCTCGTCACACTCTGGAATTTATGCAGCGTCTTTCTCACTCCGCCAGCCTCGACCTCAACAGGCCCAAGGAGGACGACACTGGGCCTGTTTACTCTGACGCACCGAGTAAAAATAGCAGCAAGGCCTAAAATTACACTAATGAACTCTCTTCAATCAAGACGTCTGTGGTGCTACGGAATGACGCTCAATTAAATAGACATTTAGTCACTGATTTAAGCCACTTTCAATGTGTAGCTGGGACAAATACTCATTAATACAGCTGGATACATCACTGTAATGATACAGGTTGTCATCACACCAGAGTACAAGACCAGGAATCCTTGGAGCATAGGGAGAGCTACGCTACCTGGTAATCCGACAGCAGTAAGCCAACCAGCACTGACCACGGTTAGTTATGAACAATCTCCTACACATGCGTGATGATTGATCAAAGCCTGGTATGGAGTATGCTGGTATTCTTGATGTTACCACTGTGACTTATTTAAATATTGTTTTTAGGAGACATCTCTGCTCCACAGTATGAATGGCCCATCAAACCCATGCGCTTCTACTGAAGAGGGTAGCGACTCCAATCACTGGACCCCAAAACGCACAGTCGCAAGTCACGTCCGTGCTGGGTCCGTGTGGAAAGCCGACCGCAGATGCCCATAATGAACTCTGAAACCCCCCTTTATCACACCTTCCGTTCCCGGTGAAAAACAAACTGTGACATGACCACTTCCCACCCAGGGGCAGGGGGGGCAGATCCGAACACCATTGAGTCGCAGTTGTGCTTGTCTGCGGGACTGAGAAGATGTAGTGAAGAGAACTTTTACACAGTTTCTGGGGAGCTCAGAGACTCCAGTAAAACCAGTCTCCAGCATTTGGTGTTCTCCATCTCCCACTCCATCCTATAAGTGTGGAACTAATTTAAAAAAGCTCCCGTCCACTCTAAAGGCAAACTGCCACTCCCTCAGTCCACCTCACAGAGCCCTCCTCACCCATCATGCACTGCTTCCCAAAACTTCAGGGAATAAGCACAAAAGTCAGAGTGGAACAAGGTTTTTTTTTCCACCAGAAGCAAAATAAACCATTTCCTGCCAAAGCATCCTCTAAGTTTCCATCTGCATTCAAAAACTATAAAACTGTCTAAATCAGGACTTCCTCCAATTCTGATCTGAAGTGCGTCTTCCTGGGAAAGGCGATCATGGATTGAAAGGTGGGAATTCCTGCCGGGGGAACAGATCGGAAGCCCCGGATGTTACAGGGCTCCTCCAAACAGATAGCTTCCTTTGCCATTTTTCAGCCTCTGTCGACATCAACAACAAAACATCCCTTTTCCATAGCTTTTCCTCAAATGCGTCTAAAGGAGCCATTATGTTTCTAAGGGTCTTGGGGATGTGCCACCACGTGACCAAATGAATATTAAAATGTCATGTTTGGATATGAGCTTTAATACACTTCTACATATAATGCAAAAAGCAAAGCTAAAACTGTACCCAGATTAATGGGAAATCTGAGGAAAACTAATTATATAATGGTGCACTTCTTAGATAGAGAATGCACAATAACAAGGGGTTACAATAACTACATAAAAGCACAGCTGTGCTAGCCCACTGACAGTCCGGGACAATCTCTTAACAGAGAAGGCGTGCTGGGCTGTGATAGATGTGCGATAAGTCAGCTGGAGCTAAGCGTAGTGCACGTCAGGTCTGTCAGAGTGTGGCAAGTTTCTCTGTAAGGTTCACTGCGAAACACACAATCAAACACCCACTTAGTCTGGGAATACCCAGAGTTGCTCTATTTGCCTTCTCTGCGTATATTTAGGCTCCGTTTCCTCTGGTGCAATTTGATCCTGGAGAATAATGAGTCATTGTTTGCGGCAGACAGAGGGAGTCCTCAAAGTCCACCGTTTGTGGCTTTTTTTCAGCTCCTAGGAGCGATCTTCACATTTTGCGTGCTCAATGTGCCTCGTGATTCCCAGGGGCTGCCCCCACCATGAAGGACTTCCCAGCACAAATGGAACACCATGGTCTGGAGACACAGGGTGCAGATGGTGAGGCGGGGCTATGTGGAGCGGATCATAGGCCTGGTGCGGTGCAGAGATGAAGCAGCACAGAACAGATTTCAATCCAAACAGTCATAACTAAATAGCCAGCCAGCACACTGTCCTAACCAATGATATCCTCCCATAAAATTCCACATCTAATTGGAACCCTTGCTACTGGGCTTGTGTGCAGATCCTCCAGTGCCTGTCGATGCTCACTGATGCTTGCATTTTATATTATCAAAATATGTAAATATGTGTCTGACCTAGGATGTGCATGAAAATAACGTCTCTACTATCAGCCCATCAACTGCTATTCAGCTTAATACCATTCAGTTATTTTTTAGATAGTACCCCAGGCCACACATTTGCCCCAAAGAAGACCATAATGCTAGAAGCAGATTTGAAACAAACCATCCACACCAAAATGAAAGAATTTGATTGCGGTTCAATGTTGCACGACAGTAAAAAGAGAGTTTCTTGATCATTCGTGTACCACCATGGCAATTGCAGGTTAAGGCAGGATATTGCATAAATCGTCTTCGCAGGTCGAGTCATATAAGCCTACTGCCCAAACTCCCGATACCACTTCCCTGCTCAATTGCAATCGCGAAAAGTTTCTCTTGATGTGGGTGCCGCCTCAGCATGAGGAGGGAGTGGCCAGTCGCACCTTCACTGCGGGCCTGGGTGGCACAGCTGCACTGTCATATTGCTCAGCAAAATATTACTCCCATAGTCCTGTATGTATAGGCAAATGGAAGAAATGTAAGATTGAGTCACCCCAGAAGAGAGCGGTTTATAAAAAATGAAAAATGAACTGAAAAAAGGAACTGATTTTTTCTGTAAAATATATAAGGGGAACATGTTAAGTCACCTCCCCCTTTCACCGGCCAAAGATGAGAACCCATCACTCCTGCTCCGTCCTACCTGCCTGCATTAGTGAAATAACACCTCCAAAACACCCCCCTGCCCGTTCATACCCATCTCAAGTACAGGCCTATATATATATCTGGACTTGCCTGGCCGCAGCATCAGCAATCCATGGCTTGGACGAAATGAAATGCTCAACATAAATGATTGACAAAAACCCAGCAAAATATCTCGGAGGGGTTAACACAACCTTGGTGAATAATTCAATTATTCGGGAGAGCGCTTTCCACTTTGTTAACAGCAAGGCACCGGTGCTAGGGCTGAGATCTAAACCCGACTTCCCAGTGTTTGTTACCGTGTTATTATAACCACAACGGGCACCAGCCCGTTTCTGTAACGGGTTACAGCGGCGCGCGGGGGTGGGGGTCTATTTCACAGTTGCCGTAAAAACACATGGCCTCGCTGGAGAGGCATTAGGGGAGCGGTTCTCCAAGCCTGTCCACAGGTACAACAGCTCGGACCGGAGCCTCTATGCGCACAAAACCTTCCAGTGTTGAGGGGAACGGAAACTTCTAATGAGATTAGTCGGTGTGCGCAGACATTGCTTAGCCATGACTAAATCTCCTCTCTTCCTGTTCGCAGGCAGTGGAAAATCCGAGGAGCCGAATTTGCGTCCACCCCGCTGTAGCATCCCCGCAAATTTTAATAGACTTTTTCCCCCAACCTCATAAATAAACTCGCCCAACATCACCGGCGTCTACTTAAAAAAGCAAACAGATGCAAACAGATCTCAAACGTAAAGTAGATGCGTGGAGAAGCTGGGAAAACTACAGTTTCTTTGTTTGCGCCAATGAGTCATTTTCAAGATGTTGTCTGCTGCCAGCTTCAAAGCGGAAGCGCATGGCAATTAGTCTCTCTGTTTCCAGACAAACCAGAAACTCTACTAGAGCCTTTTAAAGGGCCATGCGCCTATTTTCCCCGACCGCCGCGCTCTATTATGAACTATAAAAACTTCACTCTTTTGTTTGGTTTACTTAAAACCAAATCTGCAGCGTCGTCGTTTCTGTTTGCATCGCAGCCCGACATCAATACGCTTCGGCGTCCATTATGCACATGAACAACTATCACAGACAGTGTGAGAATATGCAAGTTCACATATTAATCATAAATTCACCATTTTTTTTACTGCTAAAATACTCGCCCCGTAAGAATAAGGTATATTCAAAACGGCATTTTATCGGTACAAGAAATATTAAAGCCTACGGTTACTGCAATTTCAAGTTCACGATGATGACTGTGTTGTATCAAATTTCCAAAGTCATTTTTGAGGTTAACGTTGCAAAATCTTACAGTACACAAAATATTAAAATTTATCAATGTCTTAAAAAATAAAAAGTTGTCGGACTAAAGAAAAAAAATTCGTTTCCACGTACCCAGATATGAGAAGTTTGATTTTCCTCCGCAATACTTTTAAAACGAATCTATTAAAATCCCTTGGTTTTCCATGCTTACTGTCGTCTCGACTGCTCTGTTGAACTGTAATGAGATCCTGATTTTTTTTCTTCTTCTTCAGAGCAGGAAGTTGGAGCAGGCAGACAGAGTGCCGGCTCACTTCCTCTCCTGCATTATTCCCCAGGCGGTTTGCCGTCTGTGTAAACAGGCTTTTCCTCCCTTCGTCTCTCTCTGCCCGCCGATGTCCAACATTGCGCTATTATAGCACACATAGTAATATTGTAACTCTAACTACATGCAGAAGGGCTCCAACTGACGTCACCGTCTTCCTGTCGAGCGCCACTGGGAGGAGCTCGTGTTCCTTCCGTCACACACTCGGCCGAGGTGTGTGCGTGTGCATGTGTGTGTGTGCGTGTTTAAACAAAGTGTTACCGAGTGATATTGTGTACTCATACGTGTACGCTTCTGAATCCACTTTTCATTGCGCGACAGGGATGGGATCGGTCTTATGGCCCGCTGGTGGGGTGGAGTTGGGGGAAGAGGGGGCATTGCAAATAAGTTTAACAGATGCCGAGGCAAAAGCCAGACCCCCGGTCTGATCGCGCTTTTATCTGGGGGATCATGGCAATGAAAGCGTAAAACCCGTAATGTCAGAGTCCGCCAAGCTTAAGTCAGAAATAACATTTTGATAGGAGGGCAACAGGCTCCGTGCAAAATTATACTAGAGGTAGGCATATGCAGTGGCGTCGACTTTGGAAAATAGGCTGCAGGGTGAACATGCAGGGCGTGCATGGATAGTCTTTATTTGCTGCGTTTATTGCTCTTCCACGCCACATACATAAACACAAACACTAGCTGGACCACCGCCAACAGTGTGGATAGTGTATTAGCATTTCTCATTTTGCACCGTTCTGCAGTTGGAGATAATACGTATATTCAAATGCAGAATGTTTTTTCTCCAGCCTAAATTTGATCTTTTAATTAAAACTCCTAAAAGTAATGTGGTTATGTCATAGTTCCACAATTACCTGCCTTATGACAAAATGATCTGCTGCCAGGTTTTGCTAGCCTGTGCCATGAATCAAGTTGTTAATATTTTTTGTATTGTTTGTATGTATGAAAATGTTCAAAGACAATATTTTTCAAGGAAATATTTCATAGTTGGGCAGAGTTTACCCTCTGTCTGCCTATTACAGCTGCCCTTCCCCTCCCCCTTAATCTGAGCGCCACCCTGCACAACAATGGCCCCATTTCGGGAGGATCCACAGACCCATTTCCTGGAGGGATATCCTCTGGTTGTGCAGGAAACAGGGGGCTCTCAAACATCTGCGGTCACATGACAAGGCCATGTCCCAGGGCACACGCAAACAAGCTCATGCAGGTACACAGACATATACACACACATATGCATAAGGATACAATAGGCTGAGTAGCTTACAGCATGCACAAACATATATACTCAGGTAGCAATACATAGATGTACATGCATGTGCAGCACTAAACAAACATGCACATACATATATATGTAATAAATATATGCAATAAAAATAAATGGATGCTGGACAACCAAATGACATTGTATAAAAACATCCCTTTACAGTAACTGAAAACATTTATTTTTGTTCTACAAATACCAAAGGACCAAAACAAGGAAAAACAGAAAAATATTTATTTTGACTCTTGTTCTGATCCTATAGAAGCCCTGCTGTTGTACCTTTAGTATATTTTAGAATTATATTTCTTAATGCCTGTGGAATTGATTGCACATAGGAATATATTTTTGACAGAAAGTAAACATATTTGCTGCATGTATCTATAAGAAATTGTAGTATGGTGGGTAGCACTGTTGCTTCACACCTCTGATGTAGGTTGTTTGAATTCCACCTCTGCTCTGTGTGTGTGGAGGTTTCATGTTCAGCCAGTGTGATGTGAGTTTCCTCTGGACTCCTCCCATGGTCCAAAAACATGAAGTTAGGCTAATTGTTATTTCTAAATTACTCATAGTGTGTTGATTGTGTGTGTCCTTCTTCGGACTGGCACACTGTCTAGAGTATACCCCTGCCGTGTGCATTAAGAAACCTGGGACTTCAGGCCGCCACAATCCTGAGCAGGGTAAGTGATTGGATTATGGATTTATACTAAAATACATTTGTTGAAGATAAACAGAGCCCTCTAGTGGCCGTTATTGACGTGTCAACATGAATTTCGTGTGGCTAAATTCTGAAAGCACAGGGACAAGAATGATAACACTTTACTTGAAGCTGTCATGTATAATGTATTATAGATACCTTCAATGGTCGATATAAGAATTAATATAGCATTGCAGCATCTTCTATTGACATTCATAAGGCATTATAATGTTAATTATAATGCTTCATAAGCTGCAATGAAGCTCTCCATCTATAATGCACTATGATGCATAATAAACATGGCTATAAAGTCTTATGCCTTTTAATAAATTTTTATAGCTCTGTTTGTAATGCTTTATGAATGCATTATTATGTGTTATGAATGTGTTCATAGATTCTTATAGACAGGGAATTCATCAAAAATTTTAACAAATTACTAAAGAATTACACATGACAATCAATTAGGTGTAAAACAAACTCAATGGATCTTTGGTTTTCTAAAGCTTATTTAAATACTTTTATTTATGTAATGGTCATACATTACTGTTCACCCAAGAAAAAGAGTGAGGACTAGACATAGGCCTACCCCAGGAATCTAATTTAAGGCTTGCAACAGCCATGCTCAAAGCTGCAGAATTTATGTGCACCATCAAGTATCAGGCTTTTGCCCACATAAGTCTGATGAAAAAATTGGTCTCAGGTAAAACATCAGACCTCACCTATTTTCAAAGCCGGTGGAAGCCTAGGTGGTGCCCTAAGCAAGCTTCATTGCCGCCTCCCTGCGATCACAACCGATAATGTAAAAATAAATGCTTCAAAGATGGAAGTAAAGAAAGAAAGGTTATTCATTGTTTTATATTATAATAATTAAATAATAAAATAATAAGCAGAGATGTGCAGTATTTCTGATACATGTATTTCAAATGTGTCCCCTCACCCCCTACTATTACTGTAGATCAGGTAAAGTGAGAGTTGAAGAGGCTGAAACCGAAAGCTGCTGGGCCAGATGGCATCTGTGCAAGATTGCTGAAGGCCTGTGCTGTGGAACTGGGGGAGCCACTCCAACATATCTTCAACCTGAGTCTGGGGAGGGTACCTACACTATGGAAAACATCATGCCTGGTACCGGTTCCCAAGAAGCCACACCCCAAAGAACTCAACGACTTTAGGCCTGTTGCCCTCACCTCACACGTAATGAAGACCCTTGAGCGGCTGCTGCTCCACCTCCTAAGACCCCAGGTTCGCCATGCGCTTGACCCCCTATACAGGGTGGGCCATTTATATGGATACACCTTAATAAAATGGGAATGGTTGGTGATATTAACTTCCTGTTTGTGGCACATTAGTATA